TGAATGTTGTTTTCGCAGTTTTTAATGTTGTTGCCTTGTAAGTATCAATCATCGATATCTGCAACAGATAAGTGCCCCTGAGATCGGAGGGTAGAGTAAACTGGATTTAACAGCTTAGTGAATAGTCAGGGTGCACAAGCAAGAACATTTGGCAGGCATGTGTACTGATAAAGTTTACCTCGCCAATAAACTTTTAGGAAGTTTTGGTATTTAATATCGACATGACCTGAGTAGTATGCATCTTTTAGGTCCACTGAAGCCATATAGCAACCTGGCTTCATCATTTGTAGAGCTGATTTCAGCGATTCCATTTTAAAATAGTGATAAGCTACATGTTCATTGAACCTATTCAAATTTAATATCCGTCGGTGGGACCCATCTGGTTGTGGTCTAACAAAAATTGATACAAATTCCCCAGTTTCATGGGAACTTGGAACTATTATACCCTTTTCCAGTAGTCTCTTTATCTCAGTGTCAACAAACCCCGTTTCCACATTTGAGAATTTTATCTCTTCTGGAGGCTTCATTTGATGTGGGTTGTTACTCTTAAATTCTATTTGACAACCTTTGACAATATCCAGTATATTGCAGTCAGATGATATTGTTTCCCATTCTTTAAGGTAATATTGAATTCTACTGGCCTTAAATGGTAGTGCTTGTGCAACAATGAACTCATAAGTATGTATGTATAAGCAATGGAACCCACCTGAGACACTTGGTCTAGTTCTAGGTTCTCCCCTCCTCCTTTTTCTTCGGAGGATATGGACTGTTCCTCTGGTTGCTTTGCCATTTCTGTTGATGGGTCTGAAATCTCCCTCCAGACCTTTGACCGTTTTTCGAAAAATACGTTCGTCGGACTTCTTGGCCACCTGAACGATTAGACCGCGTGTGTTTCCCATTTAGGTCTGTCAATGTATTGCCACCTCGTTGGTTGTGATGATATATTTGATTTTTTGGGGAAGGTCATCTCCAAAAAGGTTTTCTGTTAGTTCTATCTGCTCTGAACAGAGTTGCTGAAAAGACCTGTTGAGGTCTGGCTTAATGAGGTCACGGCGTCTGTGATTAAGGTCACAGTTGGCATGTGTTATCAATGCAATCGCATCAAAAAGTGATTTTGTCGCTGCAAGCTCTTTGATTGATCTTTTGACTCTAAGAACTTAGCAGTGACTTCCACCAAGACCTTCGTTGCTTTCAACAACGTAGTTTGGATTTTTTTTTTTTTGGAATTTTTAGATCTCGACTCCGAGTTGCAGGGCTGACCTTCGCCCAGATCTCTGCGTTTACTTTCGTTCCCACTAGTTTCTCACAATTCTTGGGCCTAATATACCGCGTTAGCTTCTCCTTCAACTTATCATCAGCAAGCTTTGATCGCGCCATTTTTTTTACAATAGCGGCCAGCTTTTCATTTACAGGAGGTCCACACTTCTCCTCCAAATCACACTCCTGAACAGTTGCTCCGAGAATTTCGTTTTCCTCGCCAAGCGAGGGCTCTGGCAGGGAAGTGGATTGCTGAATAAGAGAGTTGATATCTCTCTCAACATCGCTCACAGGACCTGAGTCGCTCAAAGTATCGCCGCTAATGCGGCAACGCTTTGCTTTGATTGATTTTATCTCCCCCGAGTCAGACATGTCGTCGCTATCTGTTAACTCCCCAGAGATTGCTGGCCTTTTCCTACTTGTTTGAGCTTTCTCTTCAAGTAAAATATTTGTAAGCTGATAAAAACCAGCTTTCATTGTTGCTACTGATGTGTCTTCCAAAGAAGACCTCGGGAAGTCGCAAGTTGTTGATGTCGGCTCAGATACAATTTTGGCGGCATTTATACAGTCCTCTTTTTCGCTGACGCATGCACTCGCCGTATCCCACTCGTCATGCTCGCCTTTTTGCTTTCGCTCGGCTTTAGGTTTTTCAGTCACTTTGCTGTTCTTAAGCCTAGTGACTTTTAACTGTGGTCCATTTTCTTCACGACTGGGAATTTTCCCCTCTATGCTAACAATTTCTGGCTTTAGGGACACGGCTTCAGGTTTTCCCGCCATTTCTCCGAAATCTGCACACACTGTACCACTGATCGTGGCTCTTTAGTGATACCACCAATATCGACCATGCTTATATAAAAGCTTCCGATAAGTCTTCCGTTCTTATGGCATAGCTTTTGTAGCCGTAGTGTTCTCCTCAATTTCGAACACAGACAGGGAGGTGAAATAACACCTCTATTCGCTTCGCTAAGCAAGACCGCATTGAGGTGAGCTGGCTGCTCGCGCAATCTCACGCGATCTCTGAATGACGTAACGGTGAGGTAGAATTATTCAACGAGCACAAGCATGGTAAAGTTGGCGCTCGTTGTTAAAAAGCATACAAAATGGTTGAAACCTCTCCCTAGTTCACATTAGCCAATAATAGCTATCAGTATGACTGTGTGTTTGGATTGTGTCCAGAATAAGGGACATACTAGCAACAAAGTCCTGACAGATAGGATTGGAAATAGGTGGCAGGGACAACTTTCTTTTTAAATTCCCTTTATTGAAATGTTTTTCCCATGTGACAGACATTTCTAGCCTGCAGTGTAAGTGTCTAGTGGTAGGATAAGTCAATATCGTCATTATTTAAGTTCGTAATCACTTATCTGGCCGCCCAAGGTTTGATTCAAAGTTGGAATAGAAATGTAAAAAAACTGTAAAAAACTGTAGAAATCATGGATGGCAGCTGTAACTTTCACCAAGAAAGTATTGAGCACCCAGTTGCCAAAATCACATCTGTTTTGTGGGATAAAATCATATAACGGAGAATTCAGCTTGTTTGAATTCACAGAAATTTATAAACCAACAACACAGCGGAACTGATTGTTGAAGAGACCTTTCATATCAATGTGTCTATGCCTGTACAGTAGACCAGCCCTGGTGTCAAATTACGACTAATCCAGCTACTGTGTGACTTTCATGGTTTCTTCTTCATTAAATTAGCCCATGATCTCTGATCATGGCCCTCATCTTCATCATTGACTTCATAGATTTTCTTTGGCTTTTCAGGTTTTAATCGCTTAATTCTTGCTCTCTTCTCTTCTTCTGTCATTTCAGCTGGGTTCATTGTTTGCGTTATTAAATTTAAAGGCTTATCGTATCTAAGAAATGATCATTGAATTCTTAGAGAGTGAAAAGAGGTTCTTTCACTGAGAAAAGTCTAATCGGGAAATACTTCCAAATAAACAAAGAATCAGGTTAAATTTCTTTGCATTTTTTGATACCACCATTACAGCTTGCCACTCACGCATAAAGCCATTAGGGCTGGATTATTGAGCTTACACTTATTACACGAACAAAAGCTGTCAGGGGTTGCCTTCTGCTGCTATTCAAGAGGGTCTTAATGGGTTTTAACCGTTAGCTCTCAAAGTGCCTAAAATTTAACCACCAACCGTCGAAAAGGATAAATTTTTACCGTCAATCGTCAAAAAGGATAAATTTTTACCGTCAATCGTCAAAAAGGATAAATTTTTACCGTCAACCGTCAAAAGGGCAGCTCAATACTAACTGTCAGCCCTCTTAAAGGTCTTTCGGATCTCGCTATTTTCCCCATTTTCGTTGCTTTCCATGAATGGTTGAAGATCTTAAAGGATCTTCAAACTGGTAAACCAGACTTCTGGTTTCCATATATTCTCACTGAATGGTCATGTTCGCTGATTTTCGCCTTAAGTGACAATTTGGAAATATTTAAGATTCGATTTTAATAGTTAATGTTAAGAGAAATCTGCCTTCTTTTGATAACTTGTTAATTCTGAGCAGTGGCCACGCCTGGCCGAGTTACTCCCGCCTTTCGACGAAGGCACTACAGGCAAGGTTACAGATCATGTCGAGCGTGTTGAAAGCGGCCGTCGTGAGCTCGTGAGCTTCGATCTATCGTAAAGAGATGAAGCTTTAGAGCGACTCAAGCCCAGGATTTCTCATAGTGCTAGGAAAAGTATTGGAAGCCCTCGACAACACAGCCTTGATTTCCCAGCGATCAATGACTTGTGGCGTCACTTGTCCACCAAATCTGGGCTCGGATCATATAGACTCATTTGTAAGCTATACCGACTTATGAAATTAGTAAACTTCCACGCCGTTGTACAATTGGTACATGAAACCTACAATACGCTACGTACTTTAACTAGCATCTCGAAGTCTCCTAAGAACCTTAGCGAATCCCAAAGTGGGCGGCCAAGCGCTATACTCACCCTGACTCCTAAAACTTAGTGCCCCCACTCTATTATGCATTTCCAGTCTTTCCATTTTACTGAACTAATTCCTTCTGACACAATCTCCAAAGAAAAGGAATTTGTGATTAAAGAGGGGATGGTGAACTACAGACCATGCCCAGAGAGACTGAGAAAAGTCAGAGAACAGATCAGAGCACAGCTCAAAACTCTCGCCGTCTGTGGAAATTCCATACCAGCGTTGGACTTGAACCAACCCAGGTTCAAGCACGCTCAGTAAGCTCACGTTGTAGAGCACTAGACTGCCTCGCCGACTTCGGCGAAGGTTCAAGTCTCAGACCGGACCATTAATTAGTGTCTTATAGTAACTGAGAACAGTTCACTGCCTTTGCAATGACTGAATTAGCCTCAACCGCACACCTTGGTTTACAATCTAAAGCTACAATCTTTGTCAGGCATTAGTCCGAAAGCGACACAAGAACTTGAACAAGCACAAATGATAGGATTCTAGAACGTGAAAATTGTTTTTTCCAAGAGGTCGTTTGAGGGAGAACAATGATAATCCAAAGCAAGCAAGGAAATATCCTCTTCAAGCCAGAGAAAAATATTTTCTGATTCATTATATAATAGTAACTAATGTTTTCTATATGCCATGCAAAATTATGCTCGAGAATTATTTGCTTCCCTTAAAGTGCAATGTACCATCACAGTGTCGCTTATTCAAATAAGCCCTTAAGGTGACAGTCTTGTCACAATCATTCTAAGAAGATTAATTGAAATGTTTGATTTACATATGAGAGAAGTGTGTGTGCGAATATAATCAAAAAACTTACAAGTGCCAGCCTAGTAGCGTCCGCTTTTATTTCGTCGCGATCTACACTTGACCTGAACATCTGCAATCACAGGTTTGTTTTTCTATTGCTCGATAACGGCAAGTGTTGTACATTTTAACATGGTATCGACGCTATCGTTCTCTCGCTTATTGTTGAGATGTGCCCGATACGCTCTCACAGTAAAAGCCGGAAGTTGATCGTTATTTCGACGCGTTCCGTCAACGAGGACTAGATCTCATGCTCGCAATACCTTTGACTGATATCCCCATTATCGTTTAATTTTAGCAAAGCGTATGCCTTATTTACTTGTCTCGTTTAACTTTTAGGTTTTCAGCGACTCATTCATGATCAGTCATCCGTTCCAAAGCTAAACTATTGATGACTTATATTAAGCTCTATCTAATATCTCGAGAATGTTTCAACCATTATTTACTCCACTGCGCTAGAACATTAAATTCCAAAAAGAAAAAAAGATTTGTGTAGTTTGTCCCAAGCTCATCTTACGGCGGTTTCAATCAGTTCGTCTCAAATTCTGCTCATTCACTTTATACCGTTGATTATGCATAAAGTGCATAGACTGCTTAGGGAACCAGGTATGTAAGCCGCCATCATCACGATTTTGCATACGAACGTAAATATAACTACGCATGGGTATATTACTATCTGCTACACCACACAACAAAAATTTTGCAAAAGAGCAGTGCAGGCTAGTCACTTCCCAGCCAATAAAAATTGAGAAGAAGGCATCTGTGATTGGAAGCAGTGTGTTGATTTTCAGAGCAGGAACACTGGACAAATTCCTTAGAAAATACATTGTAAACAGACTCTCCATTCACAAAAATGTTCGACGAGCCCTTTCAAACAATACTGTTCTTTATGACATCGCGGAAATACGGTTTTTGGGGGCACGATACTGTATTTCACGAGTCAGCGGACACCTTGACGAAAGCATAAAATGTCGATAACTTTAATTATGTTTTCGCCGTGAGTCTGGTCGACAGCGTAAAAAGGCAAAACAAAATAGTATATAAGGAAGAAACTAAGCTCATCTTTTGGATAGTTGTCATGCTCTATTATATATTTTGCCAAAGCCGAACTGAATTTGCAGACAATATGAAATTTTTGTTTTTCGTGAAGCTTAGTACTCGGAGGCAGCGAGTCCAGGGCAAGTAAGTTTTGTTCTTAGAAGATCTTATAAGGCTAAAAATGACATGATGTTGGAGTTGCTGAGGCGGTGATCCGAGGACATCAATTCTCAGGTTTGTAAAGCTGTGGCTTGAACCGTATAAATCGGTATGTTATTGGCATTTCGGTCAAATCCGCCGAGACGACGACAAAACATTCTCATATCGTTCGACCTAGGGGCAGTCGTGTAAGTAACACAGCCGTCCTATCCCCACTCGTCATCAATGAGTTTTGTGTCAAGTTGGCCAAAACAGTTCTACGTATAAACTTGGGACACATTCCTGTAATATGTGTAGGATTGAAGCCCCTAAAAGTACAAAAACTCAGTGGCCTCAACTAGAAGAAGAATAAACTGAGGTATGTTTTCAGTACAAAATGTGCATTTTAGTGATAATAAATTAAGTTTTCACTTTCCACCTATGTTATTGTTTTTTCTGAGCAGCAATTATTTCACTTTCCCAACAACCATTTGTTTCCCGTCACAGTTATGAATAATTTGTAGCATGTCTCTTTGTTATTAATGTCTCCAAAGTGTGAAAATTCACATTCTTCTTGTGCATTCTTTCTTTTTGCATTCTCTCTCAATATTTTTGTGTCATCATACATCTCAAGCATCAATCCAGCAAATGTTCTATGGGCACAGATTTAGCTCTCTATGCCGACGTCTGATAAGAGTGAGTGAACAATCAATTTCTTTCAGGGCAGTCTATATTTATGGAATAACCTTCCACCCTCTTTAAAAGACTCAAGTCTTATTTCATGTCCCAAGCAAGTCAAGTGTCATCTACCGTCAGAACAAGAAGAATTGAAGCCACCTTTATCCCCCACTAGTACAGTTTAACTAACTTTTCTCACACTGATTATATCACTTTATTTGTTTCGCGTTGCTTTTTCTTTTCTTTCTTTGCTAACCTACTGCCACATGCAACATAGAATGTACTGAGCTAACAGAATACCTCTGGTTTATTTAGCTCCCTGATTCACAAAGTATTACATTACCATTTCAGCACTAGTAGAGAGCAAATTTTTGATAAAACAACAGTACTGTAAAGTAAAATAATTATTATAATTTAATTGATGTATGTGAATAAAGTGTTGAATTGTCTTTTCTTATTTTGCAACAGCCTTGGATGCATCATCTGTCTTCTCAACTGGATTTCTTATATCCAGAAGCTGTCTGAGTCATGGAACAAAGAACTCTTGTGGGGTGTTAATGGGGGAGATGATGGCGATGGCACAGAACATGATGATAATCATTAATCTCCCAAATTAGAAATGTCTGAGGAGAATTATCAGAAGTATTTCAAGTCAAACCTGTTTGATACAAATATTCAGGAGGAAATTGATTATATTAAGTCAGCTGTCAATGCCCAGTTAACACTGAGTCATGAGGAGTCAACCAAAGCTTGTAATTAGCCTGTGTGACCCTACAGTCACACAGAAATCAGGGAAGGGATATTCCAGAACAGGATCAATGACCGCACCACACAGATGTCCTTTTCCCAATTTATTACAGGGGAGGGGGGCAGTTGTATGCGAACTAGTTGTAGTAAACATAAGCAATTCTTAGCTAGTTTCAGCAAAATGCATATATTTTGCGACCAGGTTCTATAAAGTCTTAAAACAAAATGTTTCACAAATAACAATGTTCTTTGGGGATATGATGCCTTATTATCCAACTGTGCTTAATAAGTAGAGTACATATAAAACCCAAAATGAGTGCAAATATCTCCCTGTACTTCTACTCCAGAGAACTGATGAGAAATTTGCCCACACTGAAATGGAAACTTGGCATGTGTTGGATAATAAATCTCTTATCAAAAATTTTGTTGTGTAGTATCATTTATTATTACATTGCATGCAGCACCAATGGGCAAGATGAAGCTAATCCTGTGTTCTGATTAACTAGCCAAGAGGGCAAGATGGACCATCTTAGTGCCTGCTAAGGATTGCCCACATTGATCCCGGACATGTAAAAAATTGAACTAGAACTAAGTTTTTACTTCTTGGACAATTTTGTCCATTAAAATGCAAAAAGTGGCAGGAGATAGTCAAAACAAAGAAAACAGAAAAGGCTCTCATGAGTTTGTTGTGCTACAAACACAGCTGGCTTTCTGTCCAGGCTCTTGAAGTAAACAAGTCATTCTTAATTTTTCATAAAGCGAAATCTTTTTGCAACGTCTAAATCCTGTATTAACCAAGCTTGTTTGGTAAAGATGGCTGGATATTAGCCTCATTCTTTTTTGGCATTAATTTTTTATGGACCAAGACGAAGTCTCCTTCCATAAATTGCGAAAAAAGAACTCAGCCAATATCCAACCAACTTCACCTAACACTTGGTTAAAAGCCCATATGTATCTTTATAACATAACCAAAGTGAAGCGCGCGCATTGATTGGTCAATTCAGCGTCTACCATTTGTCCATGGGTATACGCTACTGACGTGAGCAAATGCGAAGACTAGTTTTCCGCGCGCGCTTGTTTTCTCTGGTCACGTGAGATTTGTTAAGTAAAAGAAAACTCTTTCGCTGCAATGCAAGGGAGTAGCCAGGGGGTTCCTTTTCCTCAAAATTTAGTTTTTGAAAAAAGAACACAAAGCAAGTCGAAATTAGACTAGACGCGGTGACTTCATTGTCAAAATGTCCAATATCACATTTCTCTTCGATGCCACTTGTTGCCTGCGAAGCCGGGAACTGGAACACACGCAATCTTTACTTCCGGTGTGCCCAGACTGTTATATTATAGACGTCGAACGACTCAGCGCTGCGGTAACCCTCTTCACTAAGACATTGCAATATTGAAAAAAGACTGAGCGATAGACCGAACTCGTAAATTATCAATGAGGCCCTGTTAACGTTTTAGGAATAAGGGATAACTTGTAAAATAAATGATTTTAGTGATCACGGATAACTAAGTAAATGATTATAGGGTAAGGGATAACTGAGAGAGTTTTAGGGATTAATCGAAATTATGTAAAGCAAGATATCCGCTTTACTTTTAGTTACATCTTGCTCTGCGCTAAATTCCAGACTAGACACAGTGACCCTATTGTCAAGATGTCCAATTTCACATTGCTCTTCGACGCCACTTGTTGCCTGCGAAAGCGGGAACTGGGACAGACGCAATCTTCACTTCCGGTGTGCTTAGACTGTTATAGACCTCGAACGACTCAGCGCTGCAGTAACCCTCTTCCCTAAGACATTGTCAAATTGAAAATAGACTGACTCGTAAATTATTAAGCTAATAGACCAAACGGGTCATAACTGGTAATTTTCCCTAACAGAAAAATAAAAACGCAAAAACACCAAAAAAAAAAAAAGAAAAGCAAATTAAAAACAAATTAAAAACAAAAAAATTGCACATTTCTCTAGCAGTGCTACTTTAAGAAACAGACCAAAAGTTATGCTTGATTTTCCAAGTTATGCTATAAACTATGTGGAGAGAAGAGCAAACAAAAATAAAGCAGACAAGGCGCGTTTCTAAATTTATCCAAAATTTTTTTTAAATGTATGAACTAAGTATGTACATGGGGAATATACAAAAACCATTCAAAAACTTGCAATAAGCTTTGCGCTCTATTCATCGAGCTCCCTTAACTGTCTGCTTACTTAGCTCCATCGTGCTATTTACTCATACTGAGCATGAACTAATTATTAATCAACAGGATTCAAACATGGCTACAGCTGCACCGACTACTTCATCCACGAAGGAGACAACAAACTATGCCAGATTGTGCCGTATGCTGGTTGATATTGGAACCCAAGCTCTTCGAGATACGTTTGATGCCATTCATGCACCAGCAAGTTTACACACAGTTTTGGCGGCAAACAAATCCAAACTACAATCTCTCAAAACCAAGAGGATCATTAATCCAACACAATGGGGACAACTTTTCCCTGCCATAGCTACTTCAGTGTCGTCCCGTTCCTTCGATACAACTTTGCTGATGGTTTTGCTGCGAAACCTGTGCGGCTTAACTGCTCCGCTGACCGGCTGGGACACATTGCCCGACGTTACAGACCTCAGCAGGGAAGCTGACATTGCCCGAGTTAAGTATTTTAGGAACACTGTGTACGGTCATGCCGAGAAAGCTTCTGTGGATGACACCGAATTTAATGACTACTGGCGTGATATCCGGGACACTCTGGTCAGACTAGGAGGAGTTACTTATGAAGCTGCCATTGACGATCTTAGGAATGAATGCATGGACCCTGAAGCTGAAGGTCACTACATGGAGCTACTGAGTCAGTGGGAAAAGGACGAAGGTAATATTAAAGAAGAGCTAGGGGAAATGAAGAAATTGCAGGAGAAAGTGGTACAGGTGCAGGAGGAAATATTACAGACGCAGGGGAAAATGTTACATGCTTTGATAGCATCGAAAGAAATCGTTGACCAAGGTAAGGCTTATTGTAAGTTGATGTTTGACAGGCCATTATTTGATTTCGTTCATGTCTTGCTTTGGGTCGTCCAGTTTAATCTTTTGAGCCTGGATTAGTTTTTCCTCTTCAGGGCTGACATTGGAATATAAGAAAGGCATTAATCTTATGTTTTTTCTGTTTTGGTTTTTTCGTTTTGTTGTTTTTTTTTTTTTGCTGATCTAATGTTTTTTCTTTTTGCTCTGTGATGAAAAAGAGAAATTTACAATCTGTCTAATACTATCTACAACTTCTGTACTTGGTCGATATTGGCCAATCGCTTGAAGAGTTCAACGTTTCCGCGCAGCGTTAAAGATTACTTGGACGAAAGATAAGATATACTTCATGTCCTGACAGCATCAAAATATGTAATTCATCATAGCCGACTCCCTGATAGAACTTATCTTAATTTCTCATGAGCTATGTTTCTAAAGAGTTGGGCCTCCATTTGAATATCATAAAAAATTTTATGCGGTGCTTGTTAGAAAGGTGGACCAGATCATATTGTTCATCTATTTCCTTACTCTTAGACTGCTAATCACAGCCGGTCCTGGTTTATATTCGGTTCACCAGCTCCTCTCCTTCCATGACTGTCAGCCGGAAGACTCTGCCAGTTTGAGAATGGGGAAAAGGAATGCGACCTTTTTTATCTTTTTCATTAATACTTTTGTTTAATTATGATTTTCAGGGGACTTAAAAGTAAAACATGAGATTAAACTCAACATTGACACTCAGAAGAGGACATTCAAACGCCAGTTTGCACAAGCACAAATCTTTTTGAAGCACAACACGCGTTCTCCTACAGAAGGACTCGCTGGCTTCCTTAACCATTTAGAAAACGATTTCCGCCTGAACATTAAAGAATTGAAGTTTGACTGCTTCGAGATAGGAGTGACATGCTCAAAGCCGAACTTTGAAAGTCTGTTGAGAGATGACCGTAATGGTAAACTGAATAAACTTGCTGAGAGATTCCTTCTGACTAATGAAGTGAAAAAGAAACTTAACCTGGAAGGCATTGGCATGAGGACTGTCGTTAAAGAAGAGGAAAGCGTGACGTCATCGAGAAGGGTTGCAAAATCAGGTAAATTGATCATTTATGTTGCAGTAGCAGGGGCAAGGAAGAATGAGTTTTTTCCAGTCAATGGCCCGGGCTGGGCACGTTGATGATAATAAAAATGATTATAATGATAATGACTTATGATAAAACAACAAAGTCGTTACTAACTCGCGCGAATTCCCCGTTGACTCGAACTAAGTTTGAACCATATATATGCGTAGTTAGCGTTTTTTCTTGACGTTCTCTTTTCCAGGTGTCATTAAGGCCGTTTTGAGACTTGAGATCATCACCCAAAACCACGGCACATGTAATCGCCAATTCGCACCAGACATCAATATTTTCAAAAAACGCGATTCTTTCTCTCCAAGTAATGGACTGGGTGATTTCCTTAAGCGCGTGGCACGTGATTATTTTCTAGAAACCCCGGTTTTTGGTTTTGGCTGCCTAGAAATACGAATAGAATGCCCCTCCTTGGAGATCCTTGAAAAGCTGTGGAAAAACTACCGTTCTGGTCGCCTCGATAAAATCGGCAAGAGATATCTCCTGACTGATGAAGTGAAAAATGAAGCTCAGCTAAAGACGGTAAACATAACAACCATGATTAAAGACGACGAGTACAACTCATGTAGGAAGTCGTTCTCTGAGGTTGTTGAGCAATTGGGAGGAAGTGTTGGTCCAGGTACTAAGTAAAGGTTTTGTTGTATTTGCTTGGTAAACCGTGATTCGACGCTGTTGATTGATTTCTCAAATGAATGTGTGTGTGTGTGTATATATATATGTATTCATTAAAAACTGGATCACTGGATAATGCAATTGAAGACTTTTATTGGCTTAGCCATTATGGTATATGAGCTAAGTAACAATTATTCCACGAGCGCGCGTTGGATATGAGATGATAGATAGCCAACGAGGCGCGTAGCGCCGAGTTGGCTATAATCATCTCATATCCAACAAGCGCGAGTGGAATAATTGTTTTATTAAAAACGTTAAATTAAATTATTAAATTTTATTATTATCTTTTAATTTTAAGCTGACACGTACGCTTGCCATATTTGTAGATTATGGTATATTGGCTGATATACCATAATGGCTAAGCCAATAAAAAGTCTTGA